GTCTCATTGGCAATCATACCACATCTTTTTTTTTATATTTAAGGTTAAGTTTTGGTGGTCAAGTCCATATCTCAGATACTATAAGCAATAGGTCTAGTATATTCGGTGTATGGAAGGACTGTAAGATGTACATGACCAACTGGCAGGTGTCATCTGACCTTGACCTCATTTTCATGGTTCAGTGGTTATAGTTAAGTTTTTGTGTTTTGGTCTGTTTTTCTTATACTGTATGCAATAGGTCTACTATATTTGGTGTATGGAATGATTGTAAGGTGTACATGTCTAGCTGGCAGGTGTCATCTGACCTTGACCTCATTTTAATGGTTCAGTAGTCAAAGTTAATTTTTTGAGTTTTGGTCTTTTTTTCTATTACTAAATGCAATAGGTCAACTATATTTGGTGTATGGAAACATTTTATGATGTACATGTCAGTCTCGCAGGTTTTATTTGACATTTCACGGTTCATTGCTCAGTGTTAAGGTTTTGTGTTTTGGTCTGTTTTTCTTAATCTATAAGCAATAGGTCAACTATATGTGTTGTATGGAAGGATTGTAAGCTGTACATGTCTACCTGGCATGGTTCATCAGATTTTCACCTCATTTCCATGGTTCATTGGTCAATGTTTAGTTTTCTTGTTTAAGTCTGCTTCTTAGAAACTATAAGCAACAGGTCAACTGTATTTAGTATATTGAATGATTGTAAGGTGTACATGTATTTCTTGTCGGGTTTATATGTCCTTGAATTCATTTTCTTGGATCATGTTGAGTTTATGTGATAGTTGTAGTAAAGCTTTATATTTAGGACTATCAACATGATATCAATGATTAGTAAAGAAGGCGCAACATTTCAGCGTGTGCACTCTTGTTTATACATTATACACCACATTTACTGTTTTTACCCTGATTTTATGGATCACTGAACATAGAAATGTCATAATGTGAAATTATAGTACATTCTTAGGTTAAAGTTTTTAGGTTAAGGTACATAGCTTACCATGAAGTTGAATTTCATACACATGTTCATTATGTGGTGAACTTTTAAATTCAGTGCCAAACTAAGATTTTGAGCCTGATTACATGATTGACTAGACATTGACACATGCTAGTGTTTGCCAGGCATGGTGTCCTGTACTAGGAATTTGTCCTGTACTAAGAACTTTAATAGTACTCGCTGAGTATGGAGTTTTTGGGAAAGTTTAATATTAGTGAGATTTTTGCATGACATCCTGTCAACTGCTTGTTGATCATGTTTATACACGTCTTAAAATTAATATCTGACACATTGGTGTTTTGTGAACTTGGAAATAAGTTATTTGATAGAATAATAATGTTTTGAGATTATCAAAATAAAAAATATCCCATTTTTACTATTAATAATTAAGTGTTAACAAAAAGAAGATTTAGGATATATGTATAACCATATATAAAAATGAGACAGCAACCGAACAACACAAAAATAAGAAAAAAAATATATTTTTTTGTATCAATGTTATAATTTCCAACATGTCAAAAGAGTTCAAGTTATTTTCTCATTGAAATAAAATACAAGTGGAACTCTTTCAGAACTTCAGAAGCTTAAAGAAGTGCTGTTTCTATTGTTGGCGTTTTGTATAATATATTGCAAATTCTTGTGAAAAATGGAATGTTATTGTAATTGCCTAAAGTTTTAACATTGATCTATATATATATATATATAACTGGGGAAAATACCCAAATGTTATAAAGAAGAATACATCAATTGATTGTTATATAATATTAGAATAGGAAGATGTGGTATATTGCTAATTTGACAACTCTCCATCAGAGACCAAAGGATGTAGGAGGTTAGCAACTGATGACACTGGACAACCTTCAACAATCAGTAAAATCCATACCGCATAGCTATTTTTATTGAAAATCATATGTTATTGCTACATGTATGCAAACAATTTTTTATAATGCATAACTTCGGATTTTATTGGTTCTTTTTCAGAAGGATTGAAATTCATCTCTTAGAATAAAAGGAGAAAACACAGAAACAAGACCAGAATAAATTCAAAGACAAATGTCAGATCAGTTATTATTTTCATCACTCAGTCAATGAATCGAAGTTCTATTAAATATCTAAAGATATTAAAACCAAATTAATGACAATGTTCTGTGCTGAATGGCCAAAAAGTGGACTATACATTAAGATCACACAATGCTGGATGATAAGAATTTTTTGGATGGAGGGATATCCTGAAAAAAAATTAGATTTATGTAAAAAGCTACTAGTATGTTAAGCCTAATAATAGAGTTTTCATTGATTCCAAATGGGAAAAAATTGTGTTTCAAAAAAGTATTCTAGAATTCATAAATAAACATATATTGATACTTACATTATCTGCTTTGTTGTTTAAAAGTTTAGTTTTGAACAATTATAGAACAATATGATTGCATTAACATTTCCAAGGAAAAAAAGATATTCAACTAAAAAGATTCATCTTAAAACAATTTACTACCAAACAGAATTCATTGTAACATACACATTACTGTATATTTATAATTTGAATCCCATAGGATTAATTGGATTTTATTTTGTCCCATGGGATATTAAAAATCCCATGGGATAATTATAGTCCCATGGGATTTTTTTTGTCCCATGGGACAACAAATATCCCATGGGACTACAATTATCCCATGGGACCTAAAAAAATCCTATGGGATTTAACCAAAATCCCATGGGATAATGGTTAATCCCATGGGATTTGCCTTATCCCATGGGATATTGAAAATCCCATGTTTTTCTAAATCAAATAAAAAAATATATATAATAATGACAGCAGAAAAGCAATGAATTTATTGAATCCCATGTAATTCCGCACATTTTGGTTATATACACGACACTGTAGCTCTAAGGAGAGGCGGCGGCGGATTTGCAAATGAGTGTTTTGCAAATTAAAAGTGTCCAGTGTTTGTTAACAAATAATACACATATACATAAATTTAGCAACATAATTTCCATATTTCTGTATTCATTTCAATGGCATTGCCATGCAAAGCGTTTAAGGAGTCGAGGTTAAGCAATCACCGAACTGCCTCCAACATTTACCTGTTTTTTTATGTCTAGGTTAGTTTATGGAAAGGTATATACTATGAAATTTAGAGCGAGGGGCTTGCCCCGAGCTCTTAACTTCATAGTATATACCTTTTCATAGACTATCCAATTTAGCACATATTTACAACTCGAGTAATCTTTTAATTGGTCTATTGATAGTTTATTTTGGCTAACTTCTTGTGTCACAGGTGTTTGTAAAACGGAGCTCATTATCGAATTTTATGTTTTGTAAATGTACTCACTAGTATCATTGTAAAATATGTGATTTCAAAAGGCCCTAGTGACTCTAGAATGAAAAGATGATAGCTGCTGGTGTAAGTATGTATATTGATATAAAGCGGTGTTTTACTATACATGTACTTCTTTACATGGTAAGATGACAAAATGAATTGACCAAAAGCAGACAATAATTAAATTGCAGTGGAAGCTTTACATGTTTTGAAAACACTTTTCAATTTCACAGTAAAACTGAAGTTATAATAAATTAAGATTATTTGAAACATATAGATAGTTTGTCCCCATAGATAGTATAGCGGATAGCATTAAAAAGAAACTACCAATAGATCAGAGATTATAGGTTTTGTGTTTTTTATGTGTTTTTTTTTCAAAGTAAAAACTAAAAGATTAATCAGAATATGTATATATATATATATATATATATATGGGTGGCACATTCTCTTCAGACATTATCACGGTTTTTCAATTCAAGACATGCATGAAATATTTGCCACTGGACATTAAGCAACCAGTAATCAATCAATCAATTCATGACGAAATAGATCAATTTCCCCAAGAAAGTTAATAAAATCACCAAATTGCCTTAATTTCCCTTCACAATAATTCATAGTACACACTTTTGTTTTGTGTACAAAGTAGTTGCATTGATGATAAATTATATTACAATTTTAAGATAGCCCTGCTCTCTAATCAAGGTATAAAGAGCCATATTTGTTACTCTTTATTTAAATGAAAAAAAACTTGCAATTGTCAAAAACATTTTTTAAATCCAAAGATTTTAATAGCAGGATATGTAAAAATCAACGTGAAAACTAATTACAAACTATTTAATTTAATTTGGAACATTTTATTTGGAAAATAGCCAGTGGCAATTTTTGTTTTCATATCTCGATTACGATACAATGAAATCTTAACCTTGTGGTCATTCATGCGTGGTTACTTAGTACACGGAAAAAGTATGTACTATGAAAATTAGAAGGCAAATTCAAGCAATATGATTGGACGAGAAGTTGTAAGTATGTGCTAAATAGATTTAGTTGATTGATAACAAACTTTTTAAGGTCACTAATTAAGTCAATCCTTTGTGCACATAGTTCAAATTTTCTGTAAATTTTGTCTATGTCAACTAGTAAATCTATTCACCGACCAATTTATAAAAGAGGGTCTGAATGGGGTTCTTCATTTCTGTATTCCTTATTATTTAGGCAGCTTTCTCTATTCTCTATTGATTTTGATCAATATACTCTATTCTTAATTGTATTGGCCTATTTTCTCTATTCTTATTTTTTTCCTTTTATTCTAAATTTTCTAAATGTTGCGTATACGTCAGTATGACCACAACACTACAACACCATGAACCAAAATTCATCAAGAGGTCACGCCGTTTCAGAATCTAATCGATCTGGGTATTATTTTGAAAAAAAAGTACATTAAAACTTTGTGATCGGTTTAAAACGTCATAAACAATGGAAATTCAACCAATGACGTAGCGTTATTTTCATTTCGGTGCACAAACAATGAGATTGCCCATAGTCCTTAGATTATGAAAAGGCGTAATTATCTTTAAATTAAAATAGATGCCACGGTTAACAATTTTAAGTTGTTTTCTTTTTTCTTCATTGTTTTTTTAATAAGATTCAGAGCTTTTTGAATAAATAAATAATTTATCTAATTCTTTATTTCAGTTGGTCTAATCCTTCTAGGTGTGATCATATATGGTGCCAAAAGTACTATAACTAGCTATGGATTCGCGTTTGTTTTTGTGATAATAGCTTCGATCATTATTCTCGTCGCTGGAGTCTTCAGTTTCTTGGATTGGAGAGGCGCTTCTTCACCTGCATAAACAGAAGTACAATCGAAACAAGCATCATTAATATTACTACTGGACTTCCGTGTAAATTGTTATTGAGCTTCCGAGTACTAGTATATTATTATAAAAATAATAGGCTTTAGATATTAATCCTGCTATTACAAACTAGGTTGGGTGTAAAAGATAGAAATATTCACCCACTAACCATGTATGTTTGCTAGGAATATTATACAATTACTGTCTTTTGATGAGGTTAATATGCGGTTTTATTGACTTTTGAAAAAAACTGATATTCACTGAGGCCGACGGCCGAAGTGAATATCAGTTTTTCAAAAGTCAATTAAACCACATGTTTACCGAAACAAAAGACAATAATTGTTTTATTCCATATTCAAAATCAAATTCATATAGAGAAACCTACTTATATTATACCAATATGGAATAATCAAAATTAGTGTCGCTTTACAAGCACGGTGAACAATAGGACTGTATTTAACATTACTTATTCTGTAGTGTGAGGCTACAGTCCTGCAAGAGAGTTGTCTTTAAACAAATATATTTTTTTTCCTTTTGTTATTTTATCATTGAAGAGAACCACAATCTTTGCATATTTTGAAAAACGTATTTTTTTATTGGCAGTGAATTTAAATTTAAGAGCCACGAAAGCTCGTAGAAGAAAGAATTTTGATTTTCCTTCATGCCGATTGAATCAATGTCCACAGAACTGATGAAGCGAAACTTTCTCTTTGATACAATCATTAAAATACTAACAACTTTAACATCAGTCAGTCATATTTTTATGTATATAAAAAATTATGAAACATGTCTGACGTATTGTTTTCCATTTTTCTCGAAGAAATTGAAGAGAGCTTTAAATGTAATTCAGAAAATTGATACCCATGACATTGAAAATATTTTCAACCTTCACACACATATATATATATATATATATATATATGTCTGCATAAGTGACAACTGCAAATTATACCTTGTCCGTAGGATTTCTTATGATTAAGAAGTATTATAAAGTGCCTAGAAAATCAACCTAACAATATTAGAGTAGATCTGAATCTTTATTTCCTCCCTAACTGGGGCTGTAATCTGTACATTTTCTTCTCACTTCTACGGCAACACCGCCTAGCATTGCACAGACGCCTTATAATACTTACAAGAAAGTATGAAAAACGTTGAATAGATGTGTATGGATAAAGCAGTTGCTGAGACGGCTGGTTGTTGAAAACACTTTCAAAAAGTGAGCACTTCATACATGATTTTTTCTTGATTTAAGTTGAAATAAATTACCAGAATAAAATTTAGTGTCATGATTTAAACAATTATCGTTGGTGGTGTCTATTACGCATTTGCAGAAATTAATACGCATCTACGGTCATTAGACCTTTTCAATGACCCTCGAGACCGACATATGACACCCACAGTTTACAGGTAAAATAGAGGGGTTGAATGAAAGACAAAAATCATTCAGGAGTAACATTCATGATTATAAAATATCATTATCGATTTAAAAGGGTTAGATTATTTTGAAAAAAAAACCTGGCTATTTGCGATTTTAATCTTGTTTTGTTTCCCTCTCTCAATCTCAAATTATCCGGTATTTCATGTTTAAATTTTGAATACTTCAAGTACAAAAAAACTGCAACCAACTTACATTTGAATCCGTTCTCATCTTTATCTTTAATTATAGGATTATTAATAAATAGATGTGAGAGCCTTCAATGGAAGAGTGTGCCACCTTCCAACAGCAATTAACTCATTTTTGGAATGCCTTGTCTACATTTATTTTCTCCTCGCAACACAATAGCGGAAGGGATATTGTAACGTGACTGTCCGTCCGTCCGAAACACACTTGTTGAAACTGTATTGGCTTTTTTCTCGACCGATCTTCACCACACTTATTTTACACATTCAATAATTCAATAAATGGAGAGCTAGAAGTCAATTGATTTATAATGGCAATCACTTATTTGTTGTATTTTCCGCTGCATTGTACACTTGTTGATGTTCAGATAATTCCTTAATTAAATATTGGCAACAATTTGGAATAAACTTCCCGTTCTTGTGTAGCAATATTTCGGCAGCACTTGCGTATGGCGTTTATATCTCAGGATCATACGTTGACATTACAGAGTATGTTAAGTCAACGCCAACTACTTACCCAAACAGGGTTTGTTGTACAACGATTTATGTAATCCCTTTGTAAGTTATGTGGTCATCATCATGAACTGATTGACTGTTAATGTCCAACTATTCGTATTGATGCAACAAATTGGTTGAGATGGTCTGCTATATTTCGCATAAGACTCTGTACTGTCGGGAGATGACATATACCGATATATATAGCCAAACTTTGGTAACACAATTTACAAGCCAGGAGCCTGCATGTAGTTCAGTGGTTTTGGTTGGTCCATGTCTGTTATTATATTTGTTTAGGCCTTTAGTTTTCTCAGTTGAATTGTTTCATGTTAGGGCCTTTTATACCCGATCCGGTATGGTTTTTCTCATTGTTGAAGGCCGTACGGTAGCCGCCTATAGTTGCTTACATCCACTTCATTTGAACGTTGGTGGATAGTTGTCTCATTGGCAATCATACCACATTTCCTTATTTTTATAAGATAAATTTTTGAATGAATGCGTTCTTGTTAGTACGATTATTCAATTTAGCAATGCACGTATGTTACTACTGTACAGACGGTACAGTAGGATAAAATCTCATTTTAAATTCATCAAAACCAAAATCAATTGAATTTTATCGCTAAATTCATCTTATTAATAAATGAAATAACAATGAAGATGGTTTGTATATATATATAGATTCTTACATTGATACCAGTGGATTATCGGATTTATCCAATCAAGATAGTTAAATTATCAATTTTAAAGTCCGAGCCTCGGCGAGGACTTTAAAAATTTATAATTTAACTATCGAGATTGGATAAATCAGATAATCCACGAGTAACTTTGTAAGAATATGTTTCTCTAATGATTAAAAAATAAATTTTTATATTTTGTTTAACGAAAATCCCCTTCGAGTGCCTTCCACATTCCATGAAGTTGTCAATTTCATTAACACCTGTTGCCATATTTTGATTCATCTAGTGCGCTGATAAAGGTTATGACCCTTAAATTCATCCAATCATCTTCTGAGATCACCGGCAACCACACGTTGATTAAATTTTTTTATACAATGGGTTCGGAAAGGGTTAAATTTCCATAGAATTAGAGAAATATATATATCATCCCGTTGATGCTATGATATGGAAAACAAATTTTATGTTTTGACTTTATAATTCACGATTTTTTCATCCGTTACTCATGTTACTATAATGGTTTTATAATTAACGGATAAACTGTCGCGGATATATTATCAGTGCCTCGACACGGAAATATTATCAATTTATCAATATTACAATCAGCAAATTGATATTTATTCAATTGCTTTTAAAGAAAGATGGAATTTGACGAGTTTGAAATGTCAAGGATGTTTTGAAAATAAAATTCCTTATTCATGATTTTTTTCTTTTATAGAGATATCTCATTAACTTCGTGTGTTGTATTGGCTTTTCTTGGTAATATAAAATAAAAAATGAAGAAATAGCAGGCTATTTCCGTGAAGGTCATTGCCTACGTGCTTTTTGGTTTGACAAACCGACAACACTGTCTTATTTCTAAATACTAGTAAAATCATATCACCGTAGAATTTGAATTTTGTATTAAATAATAGAGAAGTAAATACAACAATGTATAGGAGGTAAGATAAGAAGATCTACTCCCGAAGTTAAGGAGTTATTACTAATGAAATGTATTTGTGGTATCATTTATTGCGTGAACCCCTCAGGGGTTCACGCACGCATATATATTAGTTAGAAATATAGTCTATGGAGGAATATTCGGAGGCTAAATTATTCTTCATTCGGAACACTTTTTCATCTTATCTTATCTTTCGTTTCAAAAACTGAAAATTATTAATAATACAAATAAAATAAAGACTATTCGTTAATATTCCCAGGAAATAATCATACTCTTAATGATAAAAATATAATTAATATATAATTTTTTAATTAAGGAAATAGATTAAACAATTGCATGTTAATCTTCTATGAGGTCTTCAAAAATATGTTATGCAACAAAAAAAAAATACAAATACACAAAACAACTAACTCTAGATTTTTACACTGAATAATAAAATTGAGAATGGAAATGGGGAATGTGCCAAAGAGACAACAACCCGACCATAGAGCAGACAGCAGCCGAAGGCCACCAATGGGTCTTCAATGCAGCGAGAAACTCCCGCACCCGGAGGCGTCCTTCAGCTGGCCCCTAAACAAAGATGTATACTAGTTCAGTGATAATGGACGTCATACTAAACTCCAAATTATACACAGGAAACTAAAATTAAAAATGATACAAGTCTAACAAAGGCCAGAGGCTCCTGACTTGGGACAGGCGCAAAAATGCGGCGGGGTTAAACATGTTTTTTGAGATCTCAACCCTCCCCCTATACCTCTAGCCAATGTAGAAAAAACAAACGCACAACAGTACGCACAGTAAAACTCAGTTTAAGAGAAGTCCGAGTCCGATGTCAGAATAGGAAACAAAAGAAAATAAACAAAATGACAATAATACATAAATAACAACAGACAACTAGCAATTACTGACATTCCAGCTCCAGACCTCAATTAAACTGATTGAAAGATTATGTCTTCACCATATGAATATCAGGCACAATCCCTCCTGTTAGGGGTTTAGTATTATACATCATAAAATATATGAGAAGAACAAAACCCGTGTCATGCCAACAACTGGTTTTAGAATAAATATGTTTATTTCCGATGCAAAGACCCTATAAGTGAATCAATATTAAAGCCAAAATATGCAACTTTAATGACCTGACAACAGTATCGTAACTATATCCCTTCTTAATAAGTCTGTTTAAAGGTTTTGTTAGCTTTTGAGGTGATTACTGACATTTTTGTGCTTTGTAAAGAATATTACCATAAAAGATTGGATGTGAAATACCCGAACGTATAAGATGTCTGCATGTTGAGTTATATTTACGAATGATGTCCTTATACCGATGATAAAATTTAGTAAATGTTTTGACTAGTTTATGATATCGAAAACCCTGGTGTAATAATTTTTCAGTAATACATAAATTTCTCTCGCTAAAATCTAATACGTTGTTACATACACGAGCGAATCGTACAAGTTGAGATATATAAACACCATAAGATGGTGACAAGGGAACGTCACCATCTAAAAATGGATAATTAACCATAGGAAATGAAAAATCATCTCTTTTATCATAAATTTTTGTATTATAATAAGCTTCCCGTTAATGATATAGATATCAAGATCGAGGAAAGGACAGTGGTCATTGTTAGTATTAGCTTTATTTAAAGTAAGTTCAACAGGATAAATTTCTTTAGTATACACACTGAAGTCGTCATTATTGAGAGCCAATATATCATCCAAATATCTAAAAGTATTGTTAAATTTTTGTATCAGATGTTGTTTCGATGGGTCTTTGCTGATTTTAGTCATAAATTGTAACTCATAACAATACAAAAACAGGTCCGCAATAAGTGGTGCACAGTTAGTCCCCATTGGAATTCCGATAACTTGATGATAAACGGAATCTATCAAGTAAAAATTTAAGGGCAGATATAGTATCAAAGCATGTCCAATTGACATAGTTCTTTTGTTTGTTGCTACTAAAAATTGACCTAAAAGAGTTTGAACATATGTATTCGCATTCCGACTTTTTAAATGCCCATTTACTTAGTTGTGTGAATTTTTTCTTAATAAGAATATGAGGCAAAGTGGTATATAGGGTAGAAAAATCAAAACTTTGAACAGATTCAAAATCACAAATATATGCATGCAATTTATCAAGTACTTCCAACGAGTTTTTGACACTCCAAAAGTAATTAATTCCACTATTTTCAAAGGCCTTATTTGAACAATTTATTATCAGGTTTTTGATTGTACCAAGTGTACTAGTAAGTAGAATAGACAAATTAGTAGTGGGCCAATGACTTGAACACGAAATAAATCTATATTTGTAGGTGATTTGTGTAGCTTCGGAAGCCAGTACATAGTTGTTACTTTCATTGTATTTGGTTCTGCTCATGATAACATGTAAACTAATTATGTCTGAAGATTTAACCACGTGTGTATTTTTCATCATAGACTAAGGAGAGAACATTCTGGTTTAAATGTGTATATTACATCATACATGTAAGTACTCAATGGATTCTGTAAACATGGTAATATTAGAAAAAGAGCGAATTTGAT